AGTCGACCATAAATAAAAGCCATATCTGACGAAAAAACGCTAAATTGGCAGCGCTGGTCGTGGAAAAGGACAGCACTGGTCGTGGCAAAGGGCAGCACTGTCGGGCCCCAGAACCTATATAAATAGGAGCCAGCCAGCGGCAAGCCTCACTCTGAATTTTACTTCTTAGCCGTTCATATCTTTTGTATTATTTTTGCTTGTTCATCCCAATCCCAATGTTATAATTAGACAGCGAGCCTGCCGATTCTGATAGATTGCCTTGTCGATTCTGTAGTTGGCCTTGTACATCAGCAAGTTCCGCTTTAGAGCGTCAAGCTTGCTGTCGGGGAAATTGCTTCAGCCGACCCCCCGACCGCAGGAACGAACCAATGCGCTTTCAGCGATTTACGGTCGCTTGTTATACCCGTACTCAAAAAATAGTTAAGGGGTATATTAGATTTGTGGTAAAAGTGGATGTGTGTAACGCAGAGAAGGAAACGTTTCCGACCCCATAAAGTATATATATTCTTGATCAGCATCAATAGCCGAGTCGATATAGCCATGTCTGTCTGTCCGTCTGTCTGTCTGTCCGTCTTGTTGAGCGCCTAGATCTCAGAGACTATAAGAGCTAGGGCAACCAAATTTGGTTTCCAGACTCATGTGATATCACACTGCTACAAGTGTATTTCAAAATTTCGCCCCGCCCCCTTCCGCCCCCACAAAGAACGAAAATCTGTGGCAGGCACAATTTTAAAGATACGATAAAACTAAAAACGTAGTATCGTAGAGAATGCCCATATCTACCAGACTGCCGAATCTGAATCAGATCGGATCATAATTATAGCCAGACTGACGAAATTAATTTTCAGTTGCTTCCCCTGCCACCCCCCTCCAGAAAACGACAACGAAACTCATTTTCCTTCTCGCTCGCACACTCTGCCGCGTTCAGTGCGCGAGCAACCCCTAGCGGAGAAGATGTAGAATATGAATGGAACATGTACAATCTACATGTTAGATGTAGAATAGACATTGTATATGTAGATGTAGATAGCAGATGTAGCAAAAAAATGTAAAATGTAAAATTTTTTTTTTTCCAAAATTCTACAAAATCATAAGCTGTATATACTGACTGAGTACGGGTATAAGTAGAGTCGTGTCCCCAGAAACGACTCACACGTTCCTTCTCGTTTTTAATTGGATTTGCTAAAGCTATCGATAACCTTTCGCATACTGAAAATATCGTTTTGAGGAAATATTCAACCTGGGCATTGAGACACAGACGATTATTCTTGGGGGAGGATGAATCCAGATTTTCGGGGGAGTCCACTCGCGTTTTGATGTGATCAATGATGAGATCTGTATGCACATTTCGAACAGGTATCGTTCTCTATTTCGCTTGTATTAGGGCACGGGCAATTCCGTCCGCCTGCCCTCTTTTAGTCTTTAATTGATCTCCATCATTATTGCACTCAACTTCTACCGTCTTGATCTTGCAATCACTTGCATATTGTCATGAAATCGAGCTATTCAATCCGACATGGTCTTGAACCGACCCCCACTTCTTCAGCTTTTCTTTTTCTATTTTCCGCGGGAGCAGCTTCTGCCACATTACCACCGCAAGCGTGTTTACTCATGTCGCTTCTTGCCTTGCTTTGTTCGTTTTGGCAGATTCTATCCTATCAGCAGCTGCGGAAAAGATCAACCTCAGTTTGGCTTGATCACTCAATATCTGTACTTGAGGCTGGCCCATCAGGAGTCTTTACGTGTTATATCGATAACATTCAACTGAACTGTCGATGGGAGCAGTTCGTTGTGCAGGATGGAATTGACAACGCCAGCTTTGTTTGAGGCTAATCGCGCTCCACCTTAAGTTCCGAAGGAAATCTGAGATTTGGGTTTAGTTTTCGCTTTGTGCCGCGCAATTTTTGCGAGCGCATACCAATACAATACCAACAGAGGGTTGTGTTAAGTGTGTTTTACTCGAACAAGCTTTGGCGTCGAGTTTCAGATTGTTTTGCTGGTACCAATTATTTTCCAAATAGTTCCGTAGCTCGGGGGCTAAGTTGAAGCTATTTCGTAGATAAATGCTTATTATTTCACTTGCTGTTTGTAGAATTAGTAAAGCCCTAAGTCGTTGCACAGCCGCTTGGTAGTCAAAAAAGAATAATACACGTGTATTTAAATGATATTTATTGCACTTTTTGTGGCGTCTCCTCCGTGTCCGTGTCCGTCTTCACTTATATTCTTTTTTGGATAGACTCCCGCTTCACCCGCGCTTATCGCTTATACTAAATACCATTGGGCATCCCGGTAATACATTATGTGTACTGGATAGGGTATAGCGTTTCTCATTATATACCTTTTCAAAAATTAATTTTCATTATTACAATATTAATATTAATATATTAATGTATTAAGTTCTAGTTCTAAAAGATCAGTGGCTTCGATTCTTTTTTTGTGTTTTTTTTTTTGCTTTGGGGATTATATCCATGGGTTTTCTTTTATTTGACTCTTCTTCTTCTTGATGTTCTACATAGTCACGAAGTAATCCCACTTTTGGCACTGCGAAACAATGAATGACAGGCAAATGGGGGGAAAAAACAACAACAAAACATATCACAATTTTCTCAGGCCCAAAAACTCGGAAGTGAGATATGTAGGCTGTGGACTATACTTTGAGAATTCGTCTATGAATGATCTGCAAAACTCGTGCAGGATATGACACACGCTGTTGGCTGACACGCCGAAAAGCCTTCCGACTGTTTGGTACTCAGAAAAAGAGCCGAGTGTATAATAACTTTATATTAACTTTAATATAATGCTATACAAAACTTTCCTTAAATTTCCGGGTTTCCGGGTAAAAACCCAAAATGTTCCAAGCCGCTTCTAAAAAAAGTTCGCATATATATTTGTATTTAAAACATGGATTGGATTTAGTAGGTATCTTAATGCAGTGTTTATACCCGTACTCAAAAAGAGCTAAGGGGTATATTAGATTTGTGGTAAAAGTGGATGTGTGCAACGCAGAAAGGGAAACGTTTCCGATCCCATAAAGTATACATATATATTCTTGATCAGCAACAATATCCGAGTCGATATTGCCATGACCGTCTGTCCGTTTTGATGAGCGCCTAGATCTCAGAGACTATAAGAGCTAGAGCAACCAGACTCATGTGATTTCAAAATTTCGCCCGGCCGCCTTCTGCTCCCACAAAGGACAAAAATCTAAAGAGAATCGTAGAGAATGACCATATCTACCAGATTGCCAAATCTAAATCAGATCGGACCGTTATTATAGCCAGAGTGAAGATATTAATTTTCAGTTGCTTCCCCCATCTCCTCCAGCAAGAGACCCGCTATTCATTCTCTTTCTCGCTCGCACATTCTGCCTCGTTACGTACGCGAGCGCCCACTGGCGGAAAAGATGTAGAATATACATTGTAGATGTAGATAACAGATGTAGCAAAAAAATTTAAAATGTTATATTTTGTAAAATTCTACATAAATCATAAGCTCAAAAAATTTATATACCGACTGAGTACGGGTATAAAAAAAGATTCGAGTCCCCAGAAGCGACTCACACGTTCCTTCTCGTTTTTCCTTAGTTCAGGAAAAACTCAAAGAATTTTATTCATTTTTTTTGCTAAGATCAATTTTTTGTATAAAATATAGATATGTTTTGGCATTTTGCGGCTCTTTTTGACAAACTCTATGTGTACTTGGTATGCCCAACATCTACAAACAGCGCCAGTGCTTTTCTCCAGAAAATTTTGAAGGCAGTTGCTGTGGGGTATTCATAGTTTTCAATATAATTCTGCCAAACTCCTCGTCGGCATTTAACATTGATTCCACCTTTAAAGCACATCGCTTTTCAGCTTTATACAAACTGGAGCTTGCAGCTACCAACAATGCATCGAATGAGACTTCTTCAACAAGGCCTGGCACTTTGATGACTTGCGGTTTTTTTTTCAATACTGCGAAAGATGTTTTTCTGGACGAATCTCGCACTGCTCCTCCTGAGTGTACTTAATTTCATTTAGAGCAGTACCAAATACATAGTTTTCTGAGGCGAGAAACTTTATTTTGTGGATCGCTTCGTCCACATTTGAAACCAATCCATTATATATATAAATAAACACTGGAATAATATAATTACCTATATATACTCGTAATTATTTTTATAAAATGAGCAGTCAAATCGTTTTGAGACGCAAGTCAAAGTTCAACAACATTTTTATACTTATTTAACTTATTTCTTAAACTTTATTCGATAAAACACAAAATTTAAATGAACTAAACAAATACATTGGGTTATCTGCTTAGCCGTTTCTCTGCTGTTGTTCTGCTGTTATCTGCTCGTGCTTCTGTTAAGGCTTCTGTTAATATTGTTCAGCTGTTGTCAGCTGGACACGAAGCTTGATTCAATTCAAATAAAAATATATTTCAATATATTTCTTATAAATCTTTGTTACATTTTGTAAATAAGCAAACGTCCGACAATATGCCGAAAGTACAAAATTACAAGTAGAAGAAACAATTTCCCGATGTTGCGGTCATAGCCGAGGCTTTGCAATGCGTCGAACTGCAGCCAGAACTGGGACCAGGAGATCTCCTTCGTCCGGTGACCGTGCCCCGCCCCAACCCAGCTGTCAAGCCCCTTAAGCGCGGAACTCTGGGCAAGATGGGTGAGATTGCAGTCAACTATTGCAGTCAGCAAGTGAATGTGGATAGGATGCCGGCGGTTGCATACCATTATGATGTCAAATTCACACAGGAACTGCCCAAGCAGTTCCACCGGGAAGCCTTTGAGAAACATCGAGCACAGTATTTGGGCAATGCTGTGGCGGCCTTCGATGGACGTGCCTCGTGCTACTCTGCGGGGAAGCTCAACTGCCGATCCCAGGGCGAGCAGGTCAGTGTATTCGATAGCTATGGCCGTGAGCTGATTACTTGGTGGAGATTATGATGACAGCGGATCCGGAGATCGACCTAAACTCCCTTCGTACCTATATGAGGGGATAGGATCTACGAGAAGCCCATGCGAGTGCTGCAGTGTCTGGAGTTTGGGCTAGTCGCACCATGCCACAAGGCAATACGGTCGGGTCGCCGTTTCTTTCAGAAATCCGAGCCGGGCCAGTCTCATGGTCTGGGCAATGGCGAGGAGATTTTGTTGGGTCTGTTTTGAGGCGTTTGTGCTGGGCGATCGACCATTTGTAAATGTGGACATCACCCACAAGTGCTTCCAACTCTCGATGCCCATAATCGAGTACTTGGAGCGCTATCAGATGGGCCAGCACCCAAACAAATATCGAGAGCAGGCGATCCGAGATAGATGCACACATTAAAGGCATTTCCATAGCCTATGTGCCGCCAGTATCACTTGAAAGTTTCACGAGGGTATACGAAGTCAATGCGCTACAAGCTGCCGGCCAGCAAACAAACATTCGTGGCGGATAAAGGGAGGATGACCGTTGCAGAGTATTCCAAGTCGCGTGGCCGTATTTTAAAGTATCCGAAGCTGCATTGCTTGCACGTTGGGCCGCCACAGAAAACCATTTATCTGCCCATTGGAATGTGTGCCGCTGAGGGAAAGCAGTCGGTGAATGTGAGTTGCCCCACGCTGCAGTTACCTCTTACCCCTATTGATTACTTCCATTGCAGCGCAACGACGCCACGCTGCAGTCAGCGGCGATGGATAAGATTGCTGCCACATCCTCATCCACATCCACAAACGCACGCAAGTCCAAGATCATGGAGTTGCTTCATTGCTTCATTGCTTCAACCACAACTCTGATCCGACCCGACCGTCTCCCGCTTTGGCCTTCGCCTGCAAACAGATTTCGGTGCGGTGCAGAGGCGCACCCTCAGTGCCCCAATGATTCAGTATCGAGATAAGGCGATTTCAGTGGGGAGGAACGGTTCGTGGCGCATCGAATGCTGTATTCTTCCCGGTATTCTTCTATACCCGGTCCTGGGCGGCAGCCAAGTGAGCAAAGTGGGCCGGAGCTGGATAGGTGGAAACATGTGGCACAGATTGTGGGTCATCTGCTGCAGCAGGTCAATGTCCCGTGTTTGCCTTACATTATACGAGATGTGAGTCACATCGGCACCCAGGTACATCACATTCTTCAGCATCGTGCACGTTGCCGCCTTCAGCGTGTGGTTGATGTGGATGCCATTCAGCAGCGAATTTCCGATTACCCACAGGTTGCAGATCCGTTCGAGGGTGACCCGCTTGATGCATTGCGTAAGAATGCCGTACTCCAGTTCGGCTTTCCCTTTCAGTTCGTCACAGCATTTGCCAGCATTTGGGACTACCACAATAACCAAATCGTATTGATTTGATTTAAACTGGGGATTTAAAGTGGGGATCCAAGCTCTTGATTCATATCTGCCTTGGGAGCCAGCGACAAATTGACACTGCGACTTTGGATAAGGATCGGGAGAATTAAAGGTAATCAGTAGATTTAGATCTACCCGCAACTTCAATTTATAATTACTTACCAATTGCTCCAAGTCCCGCATCTTATTTGGCCTATTTGGGGACCTTCTGCTTCGACTCAAAGAAATGCGAGCATTCGATGCGCCACGAACCGTTCCTCCCCACTGAAATCATCTTATCTCGAAACTGAATCATTGGGGCACTGAGGGTGCGCCTCTGCACCGCACCGAAATCTGTTTGCAGGCGAAGGCCAAAGCGGGAGACGGTCGGGTCGGATCAGAGTTGTGGTTGAAGCAATGAAGCAATGAAGCAACTCCATGATCTTGGACTTGCGTGCGTTTGTGGATGTGGATGAGGATGTGGCAGCAATCTTATCCATCGCCGCTGACTGCAGCGTGGCGTCGTTGCGCTGCAATGGAAGTAATCAATAGGGGTAAGAGGTAACTGCAGCGTGGGGCAACTCACATTCACCGACTGCTTTCCCTCAGCGGCACACATTCCAATGGGCAGATAAATGGTTTTCTGTGGCGGCCCAACGTGCAAGCAATGCAGCTTCGGATACTTTAAAATACGGCCACGCGACTTGGAATACTCTGCAACGGTCATCCTCCCTTTATCCGCCACGAATGTTTGTTTGCTGGCCGGCAGCTTGTAGCGCATTGACTTCGTATACCCTCGTGAAACTTTCAAGTGATACTGGCGGCACATAGGCTATGGAAATGCCTTTAATGTGTGCATCTATCTCGGATCGCCTGCTCTCGATATTTGTTTGGGTGCTGGCCCATCTGATAGCGCTCCAAGTACTCGATTATGGGCATCGAGAGTTGGAAGCACTTGTGGGGGATGTCCACATTTACAAATGGTCGATCGCCCAGCACAAACGCCTCAAAACAGACCCAACAAAATCTCCTCGCCATTGCCCAGACCATGAGACTGGCCCGGCTCGGATTTCTGAAAGAAACGGCGACCCGACCGTATTGCCTTGTGGCATGGTGCGACTAGCCCAAACTCCAGACACTGCAGCACTCGCATGGGCTTCTCGTAGATCCTATCCCTCATATAGGTACGAAGGGAGTTTAGGTCGATCTCCGGATCCGCTGTCATCATAATCTCCACCAAGTAATCAGCTCACGGCCATAGCTATCGAATACACTGACCTGCTCGCCCTGGGATCGGCAGTTGAGCTTCCCCGCAGAGTAGCACGAGGCACGTCCATCGAAGGCCGCCACAGCATTGCCCAAATACTGTGCTCGATGTTTCTCAAAGGCTTCCCGGTGGAACTGCTTGGGCAGTTCCTGTGTGAATTTGACATCATAATGGTATGCAACCGCCGGCATCCTATCCACATTCACTTGCTGACTGCAATAGTTGACTGCAATCTCACCCATCTTGCCCAGAGTTCCGCGCTTAAGGGGCTTGACAGCTGGGTTGGGGCGGGGCACGGTCACCGGACGAAGGAGATCTCCTGGTCCCAGTTCTGGCTGCAGTTCGACGCATTGCAAAGCCTCGGCTATGACCGCGAGATCGTGAAATTGTTTCTTCTACTTGTAATTTTGTACTTTCGGCATATTGTCGGACGTTTGCTTATTTACAAAATGTAACAAAGATTTATAAGAAATATATTGAAATATATTTTTATTTGAATTGAATCAAGCTTCGTGTCCAGCTGACAACAGCTGAACAATATTAACAGAAGCCTTAACAGAAGCACGAGCAGATAACAGCAGAACAACAGCAGAGAAACGGCTAAGCAGATAACAGCAAAACAATATTAGCATAACCAATAACAGCAGCCACTGCAGAATGAGAGCAGCACCAGAGAAGAAGAGGAACAGCAGACAGGACAGGACAGTCGTAAAAGGAGAATCGTAGCAGCCGTCCACCCATAATATCAACAGCATCCGCAGAAACCAGCCGAGATCGAACCGTACAAATGGCTAATGATTGATTTATTATTTAATTTTAATTATTCCAAACTAATATTTTTAAAAGTTCTTCACTTCTAGAAAATAATCAAATAAGTGTCAAGTGAAATAGTCTTTAGACTGAACTACCGTAATATTCTCCATTGACAGGGGTTTTTATATTATTGATCAGCATCAATAGCCGAGTCGATATAGCCATGCCACTCTGTCCGTCCGTCTTGTTTGTCGCCTAGATCTCAGAGACTTTAAAAGCAATAGCAACCAAATTTGGTTTCCAGACTCATGTGATATCACACTGCTACAAGTGTATTTCAAAATTTCGCCCCGCCCCATTCCGCCTTCACAAGGGACCAAAATCTGTGGCATCCACAATTTTGAAGATGGGAGGAAACGGAATCGTAGAGAATGTCTGCAGCGACTCACAACGTTCCCTCTCGTTAAGTAAAGAGACTAATCACCTTACCTAACTAACCGAAAGACAGAGTATAAACTACAGCCATGAGTATACATACATATGTATGTATGTTGCTGTGATAAATACTTTGAATTCATGCAGAGGCTCTAATACTTTTTTATACTTTTATTACTTTTATTCTTTAAGGACGAAAATGTTTTCATCTGCCTGCTGTGCCCTTCTGCTTTCAAGCGTTTTCAATTTGTACATTTAAAAACCTGCACAAGCACAATGACTACTAATTGAGTACAAATATTAATTATAATAAAGTGCATCTAACCAAAAGGACTGTGTGGCAAGGGTCTCTGTCTCCTCAATATTCCTATTGGCCAACACAATTCATTTGCTGTGTAAATTTTTCGGCACTGAGTCCAGAATATTGGCAGCTCGAATGACATTTAAATTTCCGTTTCCATTTCCAGTAAGTGGCTCACATTTAGGGATTTCTTCTCCCTCCGTAGTTCTTTGTGGGCTCTTGTTATATTTCATTTATTTACTGCTGTTAGAGGAGTATCTTCATTTATGTATTTCCTTTGTTTCCTTTATTTTCGAGCAGACTTTTGGAAAATTCAAAAATTAAATTGTAAAATGCTAGAGCTAATATTGCGTGTGTGCTCCCATGTTTTTTCCAGTTGGTAGTTTCCACTATTCTTTGTGTTCTTCTTCTTGTGGGATTTTCTTTATACAATGGAGGAGGGGGTGGCTCCTCTGGTGCCTTAGCCGATGGCTGGGATTGGTTTTGAGGGGGCGGCGGCGGGTGGGGGATCGCCTGCCTGCATAATTTTGCATCATTCTGGCTTGGGTTTGTCACACAGCCAAATCGAAATGTTATTTATATGCCGTACGTGTGCCGCCTTCGAGCAGTTCCGGGCTATGGTCCCTGGTCCCTGGTCCCTGGTTTTCTCCCTGGTTTCAGTTTCGGTTTCTGTTTCAGTTGATGACGACAAATGCGAGTGGAACGACGACAACGTGCACGGCTTATCGCTGCCATGGCACAGCGTGGGTGGGGGGCTGGGGTTTCGAGGGTCGTCCTGCGGTAAGTCTTTTGTTTGTGATAAGATTTTTACGTGTCTACAAATTGGCCAGCGGCTGCTATGGCATCTCCCTTCCCCTCCTCTCCTTCAATTATTATACTCACATTGTGTTGCCGACTGCCTGGGAGTTTTCGTTCCTTAAAGGTGACCGAAAAAAACCCTTAAAGGCATCAGGCTTCTTCGTCTTCGATTGTCTCTCAAAAGTTAATTACCAGCATCAGGCAGTGCCAAACTATCGTTATGCACATGAGTGCCCCTGATCGCATTCGATTCAAGCTCTCTGTTTACCGTCTGGCTGACGCCTGATAAGTCCAGAACAGAATAGAACGGAACGGAACGCAACGCAACGCAACGATGTCTCCAATTACTGAGCGGAGCAGGGCTCCAGCACCAGCACCAGCACCAGCAACACAGTGATCCCCGGACCGAAACTGATGGAGACCTGACTGACAGACAGCAGGAGGCCGAGTCCCTTGCAAGCCCTTGGCCCTCACAGTATTGCCTGATGCCTGATGCCTGATGCCTGCTGTCTGCTGCCTTGCCTCGCCTCGCCTCTACTGTGAACAGTGCACTGGCTTATGACAATGCCTTCAGAGCCATCCACTTATGGGCAGAGCAATTTACCTACCGTAGGCTTAAGCGCGGCTGCTGCTTGATGATTAGGGAGGATGCACTGCCAATGCCAGGACTAGAACTACGACCAGTCCTTGCTGCAGCTGCAGCTTCAGCTAGTACAGTTTCTCTGGCTTCTGGGGTAACTACATCCGCATTGTCTGCCAGCGGATGCAAATAAAAAGTGCCTAGTTATTGATGCACAAACCTGCCAAGTGGCAAGTGGCAAGTGCCAACTGCCGAACGGCAAACCCGACCAACGCCTGTCAGAGAGCGTTGGCGGTGTGTGGGGGGAGGGGGGTTGCTTTTGGCACCTGACACTGCCGCAGAGTGGTGCAACTTGCCACCTGTGCAGCCTGCAGTCGCCTCACTTATGCAGAGTTGAAGTTTTCTTTACCTTTTTGTACCCCGC